AAGCCTGGGGGCGTCTCGGGGGCGTCTCTAGAGCCCCCACCCACACACACAGACCCCTCCCCTGTAGCCTGGGAGCTCTCTGCTGCCCCCCCCCCCGTAGCCTGGGAGCTCTCTGCTGCCCCCCGTACTCCCTACAACACCCCACCACCCACGTAGCCTGGGGGGCTCTCTACCAGTCCCCGTGCTCCCCCTCCCCGTAGCCTAGGGGCTCTCTGCTGCCCCCCGTGTTCCCCCTCCCCTGTAGCCTAGGGGCTCTCTGCAGTCCTCCCCTCTCCCCCCGCAGTCTGGGGGCTCTCTGTAAGTGCCTCCTCGCGGGCGCAGCCCCCTGCCTACCCCTGGCGGCTGCTCTGCTCTGCGGAGTCCGCAGGAGCCCGGGAAATGGCTGGAAGGGAGCGAGGCGCGGGCGGCAGGCCGAGGCCAGCTGTCCCCTTACCCCGGGTCCGCGCGCGGCCTCTCCCAGGCGTAGCATGTGCGGCGGCCCAGCCAGCCTGAGCAGGGGACACGTAACTCACCGTCTCCGCTTCGCCCAGCCCCGGCGCGCCCCACCTGAGAGGGGCGGGGACAGGGAGAGAGGCAAGGCCGGGGCCTCCTTCTCTAGGCGACTGTCTGTGCCCGGGCCGGTTCCCCTCCCCTTTGTGACCCCGTCATTGCCCCGAAGGACCCACCCCAGCAGAGAAATGCCCCGCCGCACGGCCGGGGGCGCTCCTTCCTCACTCCACGCGCGTGTCCCCCACCCTATAGATCAGTTTTCAAACTTTTTTTTCTGGTGACCCAGTTGAAGAAAATTGTTGATGCCTGTGACTCAATGGAGCTGGGGATGAGGGGTTTGCGGTGTGGGAGCGGCTCAGGGCTGGGGCAGAGGGTTGGGGTGAGGGCTGTGGGGTGCGGGTGCCGGCTCTGGGGTGGGGTTGGGGATGAGGGGTTTGGGGTGCAGGAAGGAGCTCTGGGTTTGGGGAGGCTCAGAGCTGGGGCAGGGGGTTGCGTTGCAGGAAGAGGTCAGGGCTTTGGCTGGGGGTGCAGGCTTTGGGGTGGGGCTGGGGATGAGGGGTTTGGAGTGCAGAAGGGGCTCTGGGTTCGGGGGGGTCTCAGGGGAGGGGATTGGGGTACAGGCTTACCTCTGGCAGCTCCCAGTCAGCGGCGGAGCCAGGGTGCAGAGGCAGGCTTCCCACCTGTCCTGGCACCGCAGACCACGCTGCGCCCCGGAAGCAGCCAGTTGCAGGTCCAGCTCCTAGGTAGAGGAACCGCAAGCAGCTCCTTGTGGTTCTCACCCACAGGTACTGCCCCCCCTCCACTCATACACACACACACACACTGCCAGTGCTCAGGGCGGGGACTGCACACGGAGCCCTGTGGGGCCCCACCACCCTCTGCCTAGGAGCCGGACCTGCTGGCCGCTTCCAGGGCACAGCGCGATGTTGGAACAGGTAGGAACTAGCCTGCCTAAGCTCTGCAGCACCGCTGACAGGACTTTTAACAGCCCAGTCGGTGGTGCTGACCAGAGCCGCCGCGACCCAGTGCCTTCCATTCCACGACCTAATTCTGGTTCACGACCCACGGTTTGAAAACCACTGCTATAGAGCAACCAGGGCATGTGACCCCCTCCCCCCCAAACAGATGCAGGGACCTCTCTCATCTCCCCTACAACAGGTGTCATGCCCCCACCCCTTTACAGCAACAAGATGGGGATTAATCCTTCAATCCCTACATGGAACAAGCAGGGTATGTAGCCACCTATCCAGGTTTCCCAGGATCGATTTGTGTGTGTGATTAATATTTTATTAATGTTCATAAAGAATTATTAAAAAATACAAAATGGTAAACAATGTTCAGCTTGTGTGTGGTACCAAATACCATACAGGTTACAGGATAGCACAGTGTTGTAATTGTAAGGGTCCTGACCCAAAAAGGAGTTGCAGAGGTCACAAGGTTATTGTAGCGGGGGTTACGGTACTGCAACCCTTACTTTTTCACTGCTGCTGATGGCGGTGCTGCCTTCAGAGCTGGGTGGCCGGAGAGCAGCGCCTGTTGGCTGGGAGCCCAGCTCTGAAGCCGCCAGCAGCAGCACAGAGGTAAGGATGGCATGGTATGATATTGTCACCCTTACTTCTGCATTGATACCTGCAGAGCGGGGCCCTCAGTCAGCAGTTGCCACTCTCTGGCCACCCAGCTCTGAAGGCAGCCGTGCAGAACTAAGGGTAGCATGGTATGGTATTGCCAGCCTTACTTCTGTGCTACTGCTGGCAGGGCGCTGCCTTCAAAGCTGGGCACCCAGCCAACAGCCGTCAGTCTCAGGCTGCCCAGTTCTGAAGGCAGCGCAGAAGTAAGGGTGGCAATACTGCGACGCCCCCTAAAATAACCTTGTGACCCTTCTGAAATTCCTTTTTAAGTCAGGACCCCCAATTTGAGAAATGCTGGTCTCCCCCATGAAATCTGTATTGTATAGGGTAAAAGCACACAAAAGACCAGATTTCATGGTCCGTGATGTGTTTTTCATGGCTGTGAATTTGGTAGGGCCCTAATCATAAATCCAACTGTACAAGATTTTGAGAGTGGGAAAGTTTATAACTAATTGTCACAATCACAGGGCAAGCTATGTTTTAGACTCCATTTTGTCCTCCTTGAGTGGACCCTTTGGCTGACTGGCCTGGCTTCTTCTCTCTCTATAGTGGGTGTGGCCACATGGTTCAACCACTCTGGAGGTATGTCTACACAGCAATTGGGAGGTGCAATTGCAGCCCATGCAGGCCTACCCAAGCTAACTCGCTAAAAATAGCAGTGTAGCTGCAGCAACATGGGCTAGCCATGAAAGTACAATCCTGCCCAGGATCGTAGGTACATAATTGGGTACAGACTGCTGTGTAGACATACCCTGAGACTGGATCTCAGTCTGGCAGCCCCCCACTTGTGTGAAAAAACACACCCCTGACTGACATAAGTTTCACCAACAAAAGTGCTGGTGTGGACTGCACTATGTCAGCGGGATGGTTTAATTATGCCAGCGAGAGAGCTCTCTCCTGCAGTTATCAGAGGGGTAGCTGTGTTAGTCTGAATC